AGCAGGAGCATACTAGTAATTCTTGAAGACCCTATTGGTCATACAGGGTCAGGCTCCCCAACATAATGGAGTGATCCCTCTAATCTTCATAGCTTCTTTCTGTATAGAAGTCGTCATTCTTTTTCTGTCCATGTTCCTTCCCCTTGACCATCCCTATGTTGTAAAGGCAGATTGTGGTTGACAGTCTGGAGGTTGAGCAGAGTAAATAAGAATGAAAGGCTGTTCCACAAAACTCCTTGAAAATTTTCAGTCTCAAGCAAAGAAAGCAGAGTACTTTGGGAAGAAAATCTGACTTAGTAGCTCAAATTTCTGTACTGAGGACAGTAGAGAAGGCATACAGTAGAGGTATGTAAAAACCATTGAGGTATGCCAGGACCTGGGTAACTTTGGGAACCTGGGTAATTTATAATACATGTTATTTGGTCCAGTGGCGATCATCCCTGAACCAAACAACACCAATTATAATATCCAAGGTTAATTCACCTGCAACTCTACCAACATTAAATGCACCATTACCTGCTTAGAGTGCTCCTCTACTATCTACATCGAACAGACAGGGCAACTTCTACTTATAAGAAAGACATAAGCCTGTGGCAGAACACTCCAGCCTCTCTGGATGTTCCCTTGCTGCCTTCAGAATAGTTGTTCTTAGCAAAACTTTAAAACTAACTTGAGTGGGAAACTTTGGAACAAGAAATCATCCACAGACTGGATTCTGTTCAGTGTGGTCTAAATAGGAACTGGATTCTTATCCTGTTACCTGGATTAGTTTTTGTGTAACCCCTTTGTTTCTATGAGATTATTGCTTGTTGCCTTCTCTGCACTGCTTCCCTCCTGTCCCTGCCTTCCTTTCTAGCTTGTATATTAAAATCACTCTCCCTATCTGATACACTGCTCTGTGCATGTCCTTTCACAGCATTTGATGGTGAGCTCCAGCTCACACAAACTTGTGTTTGTAAATCTCTGATTTAGTTAGTCTATGAAGTGCAAATCTACCCTGCCTTCTTATTAAAGTAATAAACATTCTTTATTATATTTACTTCTATCCTCCCAACCTTAATGGAGTCTTTTGTCACTTGGTCTCTGAGAACAGGATCTCTCCCATCCTGAGCAAAAGACAGCTGAATAGCAGTCCCTTTATAACCAGGAGGTCCTTCATTGTTCTGGTACCTCAAGGCTTATTTCTAGCTGTGGGAGTCTGGAGGACAGTTGTCAGTTGACAAACTGATTGATAGTTCTTACAATTCCATCCAAGTTTGTCCTGTTTGGCTGTTGGAAAACGATGATGCATTTCCAACAAGGAAACTTAGAAAGCTGTAGGGCCAGATCTAACAAATGCCCAGCATCCAGCACCTCCTGTTTTTAGTGGGACTGTTGGGCGTTGAACATTTCCCTTGAGGTGGCAGCTTCACTGAAGTATCGAAATGGAAACTGGACTCATCTGAAATCCTGGCCCTTAAGTGCTTGATATCACTGCCATATGCTCACATAATAGTGTCCATTCAATCCAAAGTAAAATATGACTGTGGGACTGACCCGTTTTCTCTATCTTCTGCTCAGTACCAGTATGGGTAGAGCTGAGAGATTTTTTTCCTGCAGTTCAGCTGTTCTCAATTTTTTTCTTTTGTTGGCCTTTCCATAAGAGAGAGGTTTACTGGTCACCTTTTGCTTTTCTCCCATTAGTTTCATTGTTTACTCCTCTTATTTCTTTGAACCTCCAGGAAGTGTGGTGCCCCTTCAATCACAGCTGGAAAACCACTGCCTCATAAACATTGCCACTACTAGTTTGTCAGACTATTTTGCTAATCCTACTTGGTTTTAGTGGTATAGGAAGCTTGGCTTATACTTCCGTTTACAGCTTCTGTTAGAGGTGATTACATTTACTTTATTTACATACCAAGCTGAAAGTAAATCACAGACACAAAGAGCCATAGAAGTGGGAATGTTTCTGGTACTCAAAACACATCCAGGGAAAGAATTAGTAGCACAGCTGTTATCCATTAATGTTTTTCCTTGTACTGAAATTGACACCATTGGTTTAATTTTTCTCAAAGTTTTACAAGTCTTTTCTGTAACCTAAACAGAAATATTTATATGGAAAACAGGAGCACTTTTTAATTTAAAATTTACCTTTCAGGGTTTGAAACTCAAATGCCATAGCTCAAAAACCAGAAATGAAAAGACATTTGACTTTTTGTCCAATCTAAATAAAAATGTAAAGACTAAAAGCAGAAAGAGAGGTAAAAATACCGACTTGTTTTTTGGCTTTGATTAATTTATGCTATTAATAGAACAGGCAAAGGTATCTGTACATAATTTGGTAAACTAAAACGGACTGTGTCTTTTCAGAAGTGCTGCAGAGAGAAATCCACTCTTTTCCATTTATCCAGAGACTTGAACCTATGCCTAACTATGATACCAGTGAAACTTTATGGGCAACCCAGAGGTGGTTAAGATTCCACTATTGGCTTTCACAGAATAAAGCTTCCATATGTGCTGTAGAAACAGGAAAGAAGAAGCAGGGTTAAATTGTGCAACAGCTGCCTGAATAAACTGTTTTGCAGCAAAGTTTGTTGAGTTAAGAAATGTGTGGAAATATACCCTGTATCCTGAATTTTTTTTGCATCTTTCCAGTTCACATTTGAGAATACCACCTTTTTGGATGACAGAGGCATATGGCTTCTTGCATATCTTATGGGCTCTTTTAAATGGAAATTTGAAGTAAATTTAATTCTGAAACAAAATGTCAGTAGTGGGGCATAGATCTCAGTATTGCCAACCCCACCATGTCAAAAATCATGAGACAAACTCTTAAATCAAGAGATTTGACATGTAAATCATGAAATGCTATTTTTGAAGTGTGTGGGGGGTTATTTGTGAAGGTGTGGGGGGATGTGGGTATGTGTGTAGGGTTTGAAGCCTGGGGCGGGTAGGGGCCCTACATACTTTGGCAGGATATGGGGTACTGTGCGTCAGGAGTGAAGAACAGCAGCAGAGCTGGGTGGGGGCTGGGGCTTGGGAGTAAGAGGGCAGACACACTGACATGAAGACACAGACAGCACCCAGCTGGTAAGCACAAGGTAGGGGCTGGTGGGGGAGGAGATCAAGACTCCCACAGGTCAGGGCCTGGAGTGAATGGGGCCCCAGGGCAGGGGCAGGTCATGCGACAGAGCTATGGGTGGCTTATCCAAAGGTGTGGGGGGGCGTGGCTCCCCGGAGCTGTGCGCACCCCTGGGGGTGGCATGGGGGTGTGTGCCCCCTGCAGGGCAGAGGTGGGCTGTGGCCTGGGGCTCTGCACCCTGCTTCCTTTGTCTGAGAAGCTGCGTGATGCCATTGCTGCCCGCCAGGTGGCCATGGGATGTGTGCCATGGCCAGCACATGGCTCCCAGGGCAAACTTTGCCTCAGGAGCTGCTCACTAGTTGCACCACACCTGCTTCCTGCCCAGCAGAAGGAGACGCACTGGTGTTGTGCGGCTCCCAGGGCAAAGGCAGCAGGGTGCAGAGCCGCAGCCTGCAGCAGGCAGCCCGCCTCTGCCCTGTGTGGGGCGGGGAGGATACATGTCCCTGATGCCTGCTTTAGGGGTGCACGCAGCTGCAGGGAGCCGCACCCCCCCCTTTGCCTCTGGATGAGCTGCCTGTGGCTCTGTCCTGTGACCCACCCTGGCCTCAAGGTCCCATTCACTCCCTCCCTCGATGTGGGGGCCTCAATCTGTTTCTCCTGCCCCTTCCCGCTCCCCCCACCCCTTGACCTCCACAGACTTACTAGCTGTCTACATGCTCCAGTAGCAAAAATCCTGAGATCTGAGGGTTCTGTCACAAGATCATGAGTCAAAGATAATTTGACTTTAGAAATCACAAGTCCCATGAGTTTTTAGAAATCATGAGTCGCAAGAGTTGGCATTACCCAGTCTTACAACCCCTACATTTCTAACTTTAACTCCCTGTAAAGGCATACACTAACCAGGTAACTCAGCCTGTCTGTGAGACAACAGATCCTGTGACCATGCCTGGGGTATCTCATCAGAGCCAATCTCCTGTTCTCAACTGTCTGAGCCTTTTCTTATCAGAGGAGTTATTTGTGCAAGGCCGTTTGTTTTTGGAGACCAAAACAGTTCATCCATGTGCAAGTTGCTGTTATATAGAGAGAGCAGGAAAGTAAATTCCAGCAGGTTTGGAATCTGACATACAGTAACCATATCTCTG